CTTGTCGGCGCTGGCGACCGTGCGGAAACGCGTGCGAGCGAGCAGCTCAATGAAGCCGCGAGAGAACTGGTCGACCAGGCGAGCTGCGGTGCGAGGAGACGAACGCGACGCTCGGAGCTGCGTGCGATGCGAAGGAGGCGACCCCGTCGGTGGCTGGATCGGATGTGGGCAGTACGTGTCGAAATGGTCGGTCGATCAATGGTGGCGATAGGATGAACGCGCTCGCGTTGCGTGTGGCAGCGTGCGTAGGTGGTGCGTTTGGTGTTTGTGTTTGTGTTTGTGTTTGTTTGTTGTTGGTCTTGATTGTGTGTTTGTTGGTGGCGATGGTGTTCAGCCTTCCCATATAGTCTAGGCGGTTAGGATAGCTGGCTCTCACCCAGCAGACCCGGGTTCGAGTCCCGGTGTGGGAACATCTTTTGCTCTTCTTTGCTGCTTCTCCACTCTTCTTTTCGCCGCTTTGGGCGTTCGTCACAGTCTCGGTGCCGTGCTGACCCGCTGCTACATCCCATCCACGGATCCAACCATGCTCGCACGACCAGGAGGTACTCGAGTCTGTCCGGCCATTGGTCGGCGCGTGCAGGCCTACTTGTCGGCGCTGGCCACCGTGCGGAAACGCGTGCGAGCGAGCAGCTCAATGAAGCCGCGAGAGAGCTGGTCGACCAGGCGAGCTGCGGTGCGAGGAGACGAACGCGACGCTCGGAGCTGCGTGCGATGCGAAGGAGGCGACCCCGTCGGTGGCTGGATCGGATGTGGGCAGTACGTGTCGAAATGGTCGGTCGATCAATGGTGGCGATAGGATGAACGCGCTCGCGTTGCGTGTGGCAGCGTGCGTAGGTGGTGCGTTTGGTGTTTGTGTTTGTGTTTGTGTTTGTTTGTTGTTGGTCTTGATTGTGTGTTTGTTGGTGGCGATGGTGTTCAGCCTTCCCATATAGTCTAGGCGGTTAGGATAGCTGGCTCTCACCCAGCAGACCCGGGTTCGAGTCCCGGTGTGGGAACATCTTTTGCTCTTCTTTGCTGCTTCTCCACTCTTCTTTTCGCCGCTTTGGGCGTTCGTCACAGTCTCGGTGCCGTGCTGACCCGCTGCTACATCCCATCCACGGATCCAACCATGCTCGCACGACCAGGAGGTACTCGAGTCTGTCCGGCCATTGGTCGGCGCGTGCAGGCCTACTTGTCGGCGCTGGCCACCGTGCGGAAACGCGTGCGAGCGAGCAGCTCAATGAAGCCGCGAGAGAGCTGGTCGACCAGGCGAGCTGCGGTGCGAGGAGACGAACGCGACGCTCGGAGCTGCGTGCGATGCGAAGGAGGCGACCCCGTCGGTGGCTGGATCGGATGTGGGCAGTACGTGTCGAAATGGTCGGTCGATCAATGGTGGCGATAGGATGAACGCGCTCGCGTTGCGTGTGGCAGCGTGCGTAGGTGGTGCGTTTGGTGTTTGTGTTTGTGTTTGTGTTTGTTTGTTGTTGGTCTTGATTGTGTGTTTGTTGGTGGCGATGGTGTTCAGCCTTCCCATATAGTCTAGGCGGTTAGGATAGCTGGCTCTCACCCAGCAGACCCGGGTTCGAGTCCCGGTGTGGGAACATCTTTTGCTCTTCTTTGCTGCTTCTCCACTCTTCTTTTCGCCGCTTTGGGCGTTCGTCACAGTCTCGGTGCCGTGCTGACCCGCTGCTACATCCCATCCACGGATCCAACCATGCTCGCACGACAAGGAGGTACTCGAGTCTGTCCGGCCATTGGTCGGCGCGTGCAGGCCTACTTGTCGGCGCTGGCCACCGTGCGGAAACGCGTGCGAGCGAGCAGCTCAATGAAGCCGCGAGAGAGCTGGTCGACCAGGCGAGCTGCGGTGCGAGCAGACGAACGCGACGCTCGGAGCTGCGTGCGATGCGAAGGAGGCGACCCCGTCGGTGGCTGGATCGGATGTGGGCAGTACGTGTCGAAATGGTCGGTCGATCAATGGTGGCGATAGGATGAACGCGCTCGCGTTGCGTGTGGCAGCGTGCGTAGGTGGTGCGTTTGGTGTTTGTGTTTGTTTGTTGTTGGTCTTGATTGTGTGTTTGTTGGTGGCGATGGTGTTCAGCCTTCCCATATAGTCTAGGCGGTTAGGATAGCTGGCTCTCACCCAGCAGACCCGGGTCGAGTCCCGGTGTGGGAACATCTTTTGCTCTTCTTTGCTGCTTCTCCACTCTTGTTTTCGCCGCTTTGGGGGTCGTCACAGTCTCGGTGCCGTGCTGACCCGCTGCTACATCCCATCCACGGATCCAACCATGCTCGCACGACCAGGAGGTACTCGAGTCTGTCCGGCCATTGGTCGGCGCGTGCAGGCCTACTTGTCGGCGCTGGCCACCGTGCGGAAACGCGTGCGAGCGAGCAGCTCAATGAAGCCGCGAGAGAGCTGGTCGACCAGGCGAGCTGCGGTGCGAGCAGACGAACGCGACGCTCGGAGCTGCGTGCGATGCGAAGGAGGCGACCCCGTCGGTGGCTGGATCGGATGTGGGCAGTACGTGTCGAAATGGTCGGTCGATCAATGGTGGCGATAGGATGAACGCGCTCGCGTTGCGTGTGGCAGCGTGCGTAGGTGGTGCGTTTGGTGTTTGTGTTTGTGTTTGTTTGTTGTTGGTCTTGATTGTGTGTTTGTTGGTGGCGATGGTGTTCAGCCTTCCCATATAGTCTAGGCGGTTAGGATAGCTGGCTCTCACCCAGCAGACCCGGGTCGAGTCCCGGTGTGGGAACATCTTTTGCTCTTCTTTGCTGCTTCTCCACTCTTCTTTTCGCCGCTTTGGGCGTTCGTCACAGTCTCGGTGCCGTGCTGACCCGCTGCTACATCCCATCCACGGATCCAACCATGCTCGCACGACCAGGAGGTACTCGAGTCTGTCCGGCCATTGGTCGGCGCGTGCAGGCCTACTTGTCGGCGCTGGCCACCGTGCGGAAACGCGTGCGAGCGAGCAGCTCAATGAAGCCGCGAGAGAGCTGGTCGACCAGGCGAGCTGCGGTGCGAGCAGACGAACGCGACGCTCGGAGCTGCGTGCGATGCGAAGGAGGCGACCCCGTCGGTGGCTGGATCGGATGTGGGCAGTACGTGTCGAAATGGTCGGTCGATCAATGGTGGCGATAGGATGAACGCGCTCGCGTTGCGTGTGGCAGCGTGCGTAGGTGGTGCGTTTGGTGTTTGTGTTTGTTTGTTGTTGGTCTTGATTGTGTGTTTGTTGGTGGCGATGGTGTTCAGCCTTCCCATATAGTCTAGGCGGTTAGGATAGCTGGCTCTCACCCAGCAGACCCGGGTTCGAGTCCCGGTGTGGGAACATCTTTTGCTCTTCTTTGCTGCTTCTCCACTCTTCTTTTCGCCGCTTTGGGCGTTCGTCACAGTCTCGGTGCCGTGCTGACCCGCTGCTACATCCCATCCACGGATCCAACCATGCTCGCACGACCAGGAGGTACTCGAGTCTGTCCGGCCATTGGTCGGCGCGTGCAGGCCTACTTGTCGGCGCTGGCCACCGTGCGGAAACGCGAGCGAGCAGCTCAATGAAGCCGCGAGAGAGCTGGTCGACCAGGCGAGCTGCGGTGCGAGCAGACGAACGCGACGCTCGGAGCTGCGTGCGATGCGAAGGAGGCGACCCCGTCGGTGGCTGGATCGGATGTGGGCAGTACGTGTCGAAATGGTCGGTCGATCAATGGTGGCGATAGGATGAACGCGCTCGCGTTGCGTGTGGCAGCGTGCGTAGGTGGTGCGTTTGGTGTTTGTGTTTGTGTTTGTGTTTGTTTGTTGTTGGTCTTGATTGTGTGTTTGTTGGTGGCGATGGTGTTCAGCCTTCCCATATAGTCTAGGCGGTTAGGATAGCTGGCTCTCACCCAGCAGACCCGGGTCGAGTCCCGGTGTGGGAACATCTTTTGCTCTTCTTTGCTGCTTCTCCACTCTTCTTTTCGCCGCTTTGGGCGTTCGTCACAGTCTCGGTGCCGTGCTGACCCGCTGCTACATCCCATCCACGGATCCAACCATGCTCGCACGACCAGGAGGTACTCGAGTCTGTCCGGCCATTGGTCGGCGCGTGCAGGCCTACTTGTCGGCGCTGGCCACCGTGCGGAAACGCGTGCGAGCGAGCAGCTCAATGAAGCCGCGAGAGAGCTGGTCGACCAGGCGAGCTGCGGTGCGAGCAGACGAACGCGACGCTCGGAGCTGCGTGCGATGCGAAGGAGGCGACCCCGTCGGTGGCTGGATCGGATGTGGGCAGTACGTGTCGAAATGGTCGGTCGATCAATGGTGGCGATAGGATGAACGCGCTCGCGTTGCGTGTGGCAGCGTGCGTAGGTGGTGCGTTTGGTGTTTGTGTTTGTTTGTTGTTGGTCTTGATTGTGTGTTTGTTGGTGGCGATGGTGTTCAGCCTTCCCATATAGTCTAGGCGGTTAGGATAGCTGGCTCTCACCCAGCAGACCCGGGTTCGAGTCCCGGTGTGGGAACATCTTTTGCTCTTCTTTGCTGCTTCTCCACTCTTGTTTTCGCCGCTTTGGGGGTCGTCACAGTCTCGGTGCCGTGCTGACCCGCTGCTACATCCCATCCACGGATCCAACCATGCTCGCACGACCAGGAGGTACTCGAGTCTGTCCGGCCATTGGTCGGCGCGTGCAGGCCTACTTGTCGGCGCTGGCCACCGTGCGGAAACGCGTGCGAGCGAGCAGCTCAATGAAGCCGCGAGAGAGCTGGTCGACCAGGCGAGCTGCGGTGCGAGCAGACGAACGCGACGCTCGGAGCTGCGTGCGATGCGAAGGAGGCGACCCCGTCGGTGGCTGGATCGGATGTGGGCAGTACGTGTCGAAATGGTCGGTCGATCAATGGTGGCGATAGGATGAACGCGCTCGCGTTGCGTGTGGCAGCGTGCGTAGGTGGTGCGTTTGGTGTTTGTGTTTGTGTTTGTTTGTTTGTTGTTGGTCTTGATTGTGTGTTTGTTGGGGGCGATGGTGTTCAGCCTTCCCATATAGTCTAGGCGGTTAGGATAGCTGGCTCTCACCCAGCAGACCCGGGTTCGAGTCCCGGTGTGGGAACATCTTTTGCTCTTCTTTGCTGCTTCTCCACTCTTGTTTTCGCCGCTTTGGGCGTTCGTCACAGTCTCGGTGCCGTGCTGACCCGCTGCTACATCCCATCCACGGATCCAACCATGCTCGCACGACCAGGAGGTACTCGAGTCTGTCCGGCCATTGGTCGGCGCGTGCAGGCCTACTTGTCGGCGCTGGCCACCGTGCGGAAACGCGTGCGAGCGAGCAGCTCAATGAAGCCGCGAGAGAGCTGGTCGACCAGGCGAGCTGCGGTGCGAGCAGACGAACGCGACGCTCGGAGCTGCGTGCGATGCGAAGGAGGCGACCCGATCGGTGGCTGGATCGGATGTGGGCAGTACGTGTCGAAATGGTCGGTCGATCAATGGTGGCGATAGGATGAACGCGCTCGCGTTGCGTGTGGCAGCGTGCGTAGGTGGTGCGTTTGGTGTTTGTGTTTGTGTTTGTTTGTTGTTGGTCTTGATTGTGTGTTTGTTGGTGGCGATGGTGTTCAGCCTTCCCATATAGTCTAGGCGGTTAGGATAGCTGGCTCTCACCCAGCAGACCCGGTTCGAGTCCCGGTGTGGGAACATCTTTTGCTCTTCTTTGCTGCTTCTCCACTCTTCTTTTCGCCGCTTTGGGCGTTCGTCACAGTCTCGGTGCCGTGCTGACCCGCTGCTACATCCCATCCACGGATCCAACCATGCTCGCACGACCAGGAGGTACTCGAGTCTGTCCGGCCATTGGTCGGCGCGTGCAGGCCTACTTGTCGGCGCTGGCGACCGTGCGGAAACGCGTGCGAGCGAGCAGCTCAATGAAGCCGCGAGAGAGCTGGTCGACCAGGCGAGCTGCGGTGCGAGCAGACGAATGCGACGCTCGGAGCTGCGTGCAATGCGAAGGAGGCGACCCCGTCGGTGGCTGGATCGGATGTGGGCAGTACGTGTCGAAATGGTCGGTCGATCAATGGTGGCGATAGGATGAACGCGCTCGCGTTGCGTGTGGCAGCGTGCGTAGGTGGTGCGTTTGGTGTTTGTGTTTGTTTGTTGTTGGTCTTGATTGTGTGTTTGTTGGTGGCGATGGTGTTCAGCCTTCCCATATAGTCTAGGCGGTTAGGATAGCTGGCTCTCACCCAGCAGACCCGGGTTCGAGTCCCGGTGTGGGAACATCTTTTGCTCTTCTTTGCTGCTTCTCCATTCTTCTTTTCGCCGCTTTGGGCATTCGTCACAGTCTCGGTGCCGTGCTGACCCGCTGCTACATCCCATCCACGGATCCAGCCATGATAATCGCTCCCATTGGTTGGCGTGGATACCTTGTGTAATCTCTGTCGGCTCGTTTGTCTTCGACGGAACGGCACTCCACCAAACGTAAATGTAGCCTTGAAAAAGTGCAGGAGTGCACGTTTACTCACTTCTACTAAGCACTATTCGTAACCTTCCCTTCACACACCCAGTCAATACAAAATCATGGAGGCGACTACCTATTGAGTCAGAATATAGCATCTTTTGCCACTGTCTACAGCAGGCGATAGTCCTTAGACTGCTCTTACAGGACAAAATTTTAGCACAAACATAGAATATTACCGATTCGTATACAATATTGCCTATTCGTCCTAATCTAGGACAAGTTTACCTCACATGGGGTGGGTGGGATGGGGGGCAACAGTCAACCCAAACAAATATCAAGTCACCTTTAATACCTTTTCGAGCTCCCAAGTACCAAATCCACCACGGCAAAACATGATTTACTCGTCCTTTCTAGAATAAATCTAAGTGGGGTGTTCCTAGTAAATCAGGATAATACCGATTCACATCACTGCACTGCCCCCTAATGAACGAGCTGGGTTGTTGATAAGCTGCTGCATCTTAAGCGTCGTGCTTCATGCCCCGGGACTTCGTGACCGA